GAAGTCCTCAAACAACAGAAAATTAGTTACACGAATCGAGTTTTTTTCTGTGAAACGTAGGGATACATTCATAAAGTATACGTTAGTTTTTTCTTATTTAAAGATAAATGATTTTTGTTCATTTTCTTTTGCATCTATAAGTAATGTAGACATTCAGTTTAAATAAATATGCACTTTTTATAAGTAGCTCTTCGTTTTCGAGGATTTAGTTTATGATGTGCAACTAAATAGTGACGCCATAAACATTCTTTTCAACAATAACAATAATAATATCAACACGTTCCGTGTCACACGTGGCACTGAACTTCCAGTGTCATATTTTAGCTCAAATCATCAGATAGTTCAGCTGTAAGATAAAATATAATCGTAAAATATTTTTAGAAATATCTATGAGACACGTGTTATTCAACAAACATAATATGACAAGTAACGAAATTCGTTCGGCATAGAATGTGTTAATAATATGTGTTGCAAAAAGTTGCAATAATTAATATGTTCGTTGACGTAAACGAAGTATGCGAAGTACAGAGGGAAAGGTAACTTACCATGTATAATTCGAAAGGATCTACCACGAGCCCGGCTAGCTCAGTCGGTAGAGCATGAGACTCTTAATCTCAGGGTCGTGGGTTCGAGCCCCACGTTGGGCGGATTTCTTTTTCTTCCGATTTTCATTATATTCATGCACAATGAATGATAACACGCGTTATTCTATTTCTTTTTATATTTTTAATACACATCTCATGCAATACAGTCCATTAATTAAAGGTGGCAACACTTTTCCTCGATAAGTTTCGTAACGCATCCCGTATCCAATGGGAGAATTTGTTTTTCAGACATTCTCAGGAGAGATTTCTTACTAGATACGGAATATGTTACAAAATTCATCGAAAAAAAGTATTGCTGCATTGCTAATTAGCCGACTGTACGTTAGCGGAAGATTTGCCACTAATTATTCTTCCAACCAGTATAGCGCAATTGTTTTACTTACGCACGAAGAAATTTAACACACAGTTAAATTTCTTCTATTTATAATTTATAGGTAATATTAAATGTAATTTTCTTATAACGTCTAACGCATTGGCCTACCGCTATTAATTGGTCAATTTTACCTTAGAGAAATATTGAGATATTAGTTTGTAGTTGTTTAGTTCTTAATTTTCTCAATAAAAGCCGAGCTTGATATTAAAATTCTGTGAAACGTATCGTACTATTCGTATCGTAACTATTTGCATACATCTCGGTGCAATTCACACGGTATATTTTAACATGCAAGAATAACACACGTCTCTCTCGCAGACTGTCTGCGCGAGTGATTGGCAAGTTCAAAGCTAAGAAAATCACGCGCTACATTTCGCCGAGCTATCCATTTCACTTATCTTTCATTGATATTTGTGCAGCTGTGCGATCAATTACTTTCTAGTGGACAATAGCAACCATTAATATTTATTAAGAGAATTACAAACGTCAAAATTTCGCTACCCGTCCGTCACTATTTGATTTAACACACTGTTCTTCCTGTTGACCGAGTTTAAATCATGGTTCTACATTAATCCTGCGAATACGAGTATATACTGTTGGTGCTCGACAAATCGTACAGAGTAACCCAATAGCTTTGAAATTTAATTAGATGGCGTATTATCGCGTTTGAACTTTTTTTATTGAACTTTGATACTAAATAATCTATTAACAATATTGATGAACGACTTTGGAGATTTCGATACGGTGGTCGTTTGCTTAGGTTTAATTTTAAGAAAGAGCGTTTTATCATTGGGCTTGCATTTTCGAGATTTTCTTGTTAGGAGAGCGCGTCGTTCTATTTTATCTTGCGAAAAATCGCGCTTTAAATGTAAAGTAACGTGAAGATAAATAAAAAATCACTCGAGAAATAGTTTTTATCGTCATTTAGAAATAGTTTTTAGCGTCACATGATAGAAGCCAAAGGAAAAATCCCTGGGGGATTGATCTTCTTTTTTTGTATATTCATGATATAATTCAGAAAATATTTTCGATAAGCAAGTGACTCAACCCTCCTTAAGAGTGCCATATGGCAAACAAACTCGATAATATAGAAATTCGAAAATGGAAGATGTAGAATAAGATGTGTGATCAGGAATGTATTCGTCACTTCCCTCGAGGAAGAGTATCTCTCCATTATCTTTGTACGGTTTTAAGACGGGTAAGCGCATGTAAGAAGTAGACATTTCCACTTCTGGAGCGCCCGCGATAGTTTTCCCCCTGAGCGAGCGAACGAGTGAGGGAACAATCGATATATCGCCTCGTCGCGCACGTACTTTTACGCGCGTTTGGCTACGATCATTGCCTTAATCGTCGCATTTCACCGGAATGGGATTGCAGGGCCGCTTGTTATAAGACTCCCGGCTGTGATTTACTGGAAATTACTCGGAAGTTGTAAAGTACGAGAGATGCCGAAGCTATTGCAAAATAAAGGTCAGGACTTCCGTGTATTATACTACACGGAAATCTGTGCGACATATCAAAATGCAAATGCTCGACCGATGCAAGTGACAGCACTAGTTGTAAATTTTTTATGAAATATTGTTTTACCCTTTTGCCGAATCTTATTCTTCCTATGCATACACTATGCATATCGATATAAATGTTGTTTCTCCCGACTATAGAGACGATTCATTTAATAACGTCACATTTTTCCCGTCTAAAATGTGATGCATCAACTTGTAAAAAAAATAAACTTCACACGGAAAAAAAAGTTTGGTTAAATTAACCAAATATCTGGTCGAATATGAACGATCCAGAAATTCCGATTAAAGTAACCCGAATTCTGTTTAAGTTAACAAGATTTTTAGTTAACTTAAACAGAATTCGGGTTACATCAATCGGAATTTCTGGATCGTTCATATTCGACCAGATATTTAGTTAATTCAACCAAACCTTTTTTCCGTGCAGATATAGGAATTTGAGCTATTCGTATAATAACTTCAGCTACATGATAAGATAATGGGTCCTATTTATGGATCATAGTTTTGAAGCAAAATTATTAGACCTTGAATTGATTCGAAATTTAAAAAGGAATAATATTAGAAATGCTTGTGCGTAAGTCCAAATTCTGAGTCAGCAAATTTTTCATGTCCTTATAATAGATTATAGGGATATCCAATTTTATATCAATAATGTCCATAATCCACATTTTAGTTTATACAGAATAATGACGTACGTAGCAAAATCTACAAACAGTTTTATCAATTCAAATAATCGATCAACCAAATAATACTTTAGATTTTCTCTTAAATATTAACAATGTTTGTGAGTGCAGATTTAGAATATAATTATAAAAAGACTAAAGAGTATAAAAAATTGTATCCAGATTCTTTTTTCTTTTTTAATCATGATACGTATTCTTTTAATACATTAATGAATCAAGTCTGACCCGAAGTCTCGTTTCATAATTAGGACCGTTACCTTACTAATCGGCTAAATAGCAAAACCCGATCAGCTGAATCGCAAACCGATCTCCTTTGTGTTCGCAGGAGCACCTGGCGTATTATTTAACCCTGACCTCTTTCAATCTCGAGTGGAGGAGAGAATGGGAAGGAAAAGACGCAGCCGAAGGAAACGCGAAGTCGCAAACCGAGAACGAATAGCGACAGTAACAGCAGCAATAGCATCCGATCGTGTAGTCGCGCGCGTATGCAGGTGGGAGTGAAAGAAAGAAACGTCAAAAAGCATCCCGCTAAAAGGAAGTGCACGTGGACGAAGGCTGGTGTAGAAGTTGTTGGTGGTGGTGAGAAGAAACGGTGGAGGAATCTTAACGCGGGCGCGCGTGCAAGAGGCGATTTCCGAGCGATTCATCTTCTCGGGTTCGCAGGTGTTCGCGCGCGAGCGAACGTCCTTCACGGCCCTTGTCGTCGATCGTCCTCTTCTTTCCGCCGGTGAGTAGCCTCTGGTCGCTCGCCTATTCCGCGATCGTACGACGAGAGAAAGAGAAACGTAGAAGAAGGGAGAGAGAGAGGAAAAGGAACGCGCGTTGCTCGTCGATGCGATAGACCGGAGGACGATCCGCGGCCGAAGAGAGTAGTAGCGGAGAGGTTTACGCGAGAAGAGCGGAACGAACGAGAAGAGGAGGAGGAGGAGGAGGAGGAGACGAGAGGAGAAGCAACGATAGACGGAAGAGCAGAAGAAGTCGAGAGAAGAGAATCACCGAGAGAAGAGAGAGGAGAAAGGGCACCATGCGGCCGAATAGAGACGGGGATAAGACTTGACGAAGAAGAAGAGGAAGAAGAAGAAGAGATTCTACCTTGCAGCTCGCGAGAGATAGGGAAAGAGAGATAAAGGAAAAAGAAAGAGAGAGTGCGGAAGAGGGGGCAGAAGAAGTGAGACGCGTGGTAGTGCTGATGGTGGTGGTAGTGGTGGTGGAGGAGGTGATACTGGTGGCGGTGATGGTGATGCTCGTGCTGGTGTTGGCGCGGTAGCGGACGGAGGGTCCTCGCGAGCGTCCAGATCTGTCGCGTGCTGCGTCGCGACTCTCTGGAATGGGACGGAAGCGGAACGACACGGCGACGACGACGACGACGACGACGGGATCGAGACGGGACGGTAGCGAACGACGACGGCGACCGGGACAACAGTGACGACTGACGGCGACGATCATTATCACCAGCCGGCTCTCTCGAGAGCGGGATGGGATGGATGTTGCCGCGACAGGTCGGTGTGAGTAGAGCGAGCCGAGTCGACCTCAGCACCGTCGTGCGTCCTGCTGGTACAGTGTTGGTGGTTTCACTCTCGGCTGCTGCCATCGCCACCGCCGTCGCCACCGCCACCGCCGAGCCGCTGCTGTGGTGCGCGCTGGTGTGCCGCAGCTGCTGCCGCCGTCGTCGATCCGTCCGTCCACCGCCACCGCCGCCGCCGCCGCCGCCGCCGTTGCCGCCGTTGCCGCCGCCACCGCCGCCGCGCCGGTTCGGTCTCTCTACGAGAGCGAATCGAGGAGCGTGCCCGAACCCGAGCCGGGGAAGAGAACCGCGGCACTCGTTCAGTAGTTTCTCGGACGCCGCACAGGCACCATCCGACCCTGCGAGATAACCCTGACGTGTGGTCGCCGCAGGGCTTAACCCCCGCGACCCCCTCGGTGACAATTGCGTGCGTACGCGAGGTCCGCCGAGCGCGTGGCTTCGATCATACCCGTTCGCGCCCAGACGTGAGATCGTCACGGCGAATCGCCGTGCGATCTCGCCGTCCCCCAGGACCCCCCGCGTTCAGGAGGAACTGTTGCGAAACGGGGGATTTTCGCAACGAATCCTTGCGAGTCTTTCTTTTCTCTTCTTTGAAGTATTTTTGTTGGAGCCCGTGTCAAAGGTGTACGCGCGATCGGTAGATTCGTAGGTCAGTTCCGATCCTTCCCTTTCTGTCGATTTCTTACGAATTCAGACAGACTGAGGTTCTCTCGCTTTCGCGGACATCTCTCGAAACGTAGATCGGTCCGGTATAACGAGCCCCTACCGGTGAAACGTCGATTTTGGATGGAGGGCCCCGATGTTCCTTCTACGAGCAAAGTGGTGATAGCTGAGTAAATGGTGAAGCAGTGGTAGTGCGTAACACGGGGGTCTACCTGCTCATGCCGATCTTTCGCGAGAGAACTCTATGCATGACTGCGTGACACTGAGCTGATTACGGAAGGACATACACGGGAACCCGAAAGAAGGAGATCGGTAAGACGAGTCAGCAGGAGAAATCCGGCGGAAGTGGAGGGAGAGATGGGAACTCGTTCCGTTCTCGTCTACTGACAAGCAACAGCAGATAACAGGAGAGCCAAGGGAGGGGGACAGAGAGACGAAGGCGGAGCAAGATTGTCGAAAGCAACAACCGCTAGTGTCAATTTGTACCGAAGCGAGATCGGCGACTCGATGTCACCCCGTGAACCAGTACCATCGTTTCTCATCCACGGCAGCTCACTCTGGGGCTCGACGATCGGCTGCACTGGTACCTAGGGCAGTGCGTACAGCTACACCGATGCGACTCGGCGGCAACCGCAATAATGCGAGAGTACCGAAAGCGCGACGGTGCATGGACGGTAACAGCGGACCGGCAGCCGCATCCCCCGTTTCCGGCCGACGCTTTCTCCCGGTACCTTCTTCAGAGACGAAAGTGACGGGAAAAGGGCTCCTGATATGGGGCTGTAATGCCGGCTGACAGCGGACGCAGCCTTCATCGACACCTCTCGTACGATAACCGCGGTCGAACCGATCGACGTCGCTCGACGACGTTCAAAGCGGTGAGATAAATAAGGCAAATTGTAGACGAAAAAGAAGAAAGAGAAAGGACAAAACAGCGATCGATATCATAAACTTCCGAGTGGAAAGCGGCTGTAACGCCGCCAAGGAGGAGGAGGGCAAAGAAAGAAGCGTCGGATGAGACCGTCATGCCCGCTGAGATTGACACGGGCGGGCCAAGGGTGCTGCACTGTGATTCCCGTGCCGACTGCCCGACGACGCCGATTTCCGCCGGCCAACAGCGCCGAGCCGCACATTCAAGTTGCCGGAGCGCCAATTCACTCGCCGATCTCGGCCGGGACTCAGCCGCGAGGTTACCGAGGATCCACGGGCCGGTCAAATCGCCGAACCGTCTGGACTCGAGGGGGGACAGGCAGAATCCGAAAGGTCCGCGACGAGATCGAGAGATCGACACGCACGCCGACGACGAAGAGCCAGCCGAGGCCTTGAACGGGAGAGACGTCCTGGCAAAGAGTCGCGCGTCAACGCAGCCACCGCCACGTCCAACACGAGGAGGAAACGGGCTCACGTGTCTGGCACCGGAGGGAGTGTCGCGCGCGCTTGAGAATGCCTCCAAGGACGAGTGTCTCTCGGTCACGCGGGACTCCCGGGAGGGCGCGAGGAACACGCGCTACAAGGTCGAGCGAGCGGAATCGCGGCTTGCGATAGCCGCGGACACGAGTGGGCGCGCGATCGCGAGGCGTCGAAGTCTCCAGGATCGCTCCTGGACACGGCCGCTGCTCCGCGCCGGCCAGCGTCCCGACACGAATCCAAGTCGGGATTCGATCGATCGGCCGAGTGGGACGCGTGCCGCGGGAGGAAGCCCTCTTCTCTCTAGTCACCATTCGCGTTCTTGCTCGAAGGTAAGGTCCTGCGAGGACAACACGGACGATACCAGTGAGGGATTTCCCGGTGAACGACTCGCTGTTGCTGCCGGCGACGACGACGATGACGAAGACTCGAGAGCGGACGGGAACGCGAGATCACCGAGGTGGCCGGGACGCGATGAACGTTTGAAAGAGGAGATCCAGGCCGGGAGGACCGGATCGGCGCGGAAGGATCCCACGAGCAGGAAGAGGCGCGGACGCGCGTGCCGCGGTCACTCGTTCCTCCGGCTGGCGGTTCTCCTCTTCCTCGTCACGTTCGGGCAGAGCGGACTGTTCGGCCGGAGTGTGCGTAAGTTCAGTGCGGGACCGAGCCGCGTAAGTGTCTTGACGATCGGCACGACGATGATGATCGGTGCAGTGAGTGCGGCGCCGGTCGATCTGCTCGGCGACGCGGGCAACAGGGCCGAGAGGTCGGCCAACCTCTCCCACATCACCGGCACCTCGAGGAAGATACAGATGTACGTCAAGAACCGGCATCTGCAGATCTTGCCGGACGGCACGGTCAACGGCTCCAACGACGACACCTCGGAATACAGTGAGTACTACTACTACCACTACGCTTCCGCATGCTATCGAGCGATGATCGATCGACGATCGAGAGATCAACACGAGAGGAGAATGACCTCGGACGCGGTGCGCATAGAGGGCACGATTCTCGCTCGACTCCTGTCTGAGAAATATTAAATTCACTTTGGAGAAATATCTCAGGCTTGGTCTACAATATGCGGACTAAGCTTGATATAAGAAGCAAGAGTAGGAGTAAGAAATAAAAATCATTTATTTTGTTCATATACCTGCTTGTACTTTAACTTTCTTACATCAGAAGTTTTTGTTTTAAATGAAATACTTCCAGGGAGTTAGAGTGTGTGTGTATAGGCGTAAACGAAATAAATTATTTTTATTTCTTATTCCTACTTTTACTTCTTACACCAAACTTACTCTATATATTATAGACTAAGCCTCAATCATTAGTATCTCAATCAATTTCTTTTCCGTGAGATTTTGCTTGCTTAAATTTCCAAAGTCTGACAAGATTGAGATAATATCTGCAACAATTTGTTGCGAAAACTGAATTGACAAAAATATTATTAGCTTTGCGATTCAATCTACCGTTGCTCCAATAGCGTGTATTAGTAATTGCTATACACTACTTGCATCGCGAAATTGACGAATATAAAGTGTGTTCAATTTCTTGACTGCTTAGTTCTTCTGAACGGTTTTATGCAACAGCGAGACGCGTCAGAAAATTCGGTTCAAATTTCATTTGGCATTAGAATGCTGTTAGATTCGTCTAATGGGTTTATTTTCGACGGACGTACGTGTCGATTATGCGACGTTGTCAAGATCGCGCCGACTTTATTGCGGTGTCAAATTTAGCGCTTCCCTTCATCTTTGGACAGTTAATAATATCGACGTATATTTAGCCCTATTTCACACAATTTCTTAAATTAAATCTCGCCTTCCCTTGTGAATGGGATAGCGAATAGGAACCTCTATTGTGTCTAACTAAAAATTAAAAATTCAATCAACGAAATATATTACATTCATTTCTAAGAATAAAATAATCCTTTGACCAAAGTCGAATTATTACTAAGAGTAAACTAATATTCTAGCATATCGTATGCTGATTTTTTAAAGAATGCTACTTTGCAAAATTATCCCAAGAACGAATGATTGATTTATTACTCGTAATCAACAGTGCTTCTAACAGTGTTTCGTTACACTTGCGCGAGGAGAATATTGTATACTTTTCTTTTTCTTCATATACGTTCTTCTCAATTTTCTAGTAGTATAGGAATAGACTGCCAGAATAAGGTCTGTCTTGCCAAAGAGCACAGTAAATCGCGTTAGAAGCATAGAAACCTTTTAATAGCACATTTCAGTTTCTAAAATACATGACATACATAAAACGCGAAAAGAAACAGCCGAATGTCGATATTTTTCAGCTACAAAATTCCACAAATTCTCTCCGTATACAAGCAAAGTAAACCCTAAAGGCGCGAAACTCTCTCGTCTGCTCGAGTTGTCGATTCGTCCGCGATGCGTTAACGGCGACACGAAAGCGTGCTCTTTGCGATCTCTCCCCGCCGTTCAAGTATTTAATTCGAGTCGACACCTGTCGACGGTCGATTTTTCTAAAATCGCTTGCGGCTCCCCGACGGATATAGAGTTTCAATCCGAGCCGTGCCCGAGCGACTCGTGCCGCCTGTGTGTGATTAATGAACGTGTAATCGAGCGTTACCCTTGAACTGAGCGCGCCGACTCTGACGTTGATTCCACGGCACGCCCGATGTATTTCATTCAAGATATCTAGTCCGGTCGATATTGAGAGAGGGAGGGAGGGGGAGAGAGAGAGAGAGAGAGAGAGAGAGAGAGAGAGAGAGAGAGAGAGAGATCCTCGGCCATTCGACTTCACCAGCGCGTTCTAATTAGTCTTTTTATCGCGTGCGACGATGACCTTATCCGACGAAGAGAATGCCGATCGCACGTCACGCGTCTTTCGCGCAGGAAAGATTTGGTAAAGGCAGACCTCGGCCGATCGATTTCGGTCATCGTTAGGCCTGCGACCCGAGGCCAAACTATCAGCTCTAACGCTCTCCCTGTGTTATCCTCTCGATAAACAGCGCTCTAATCAGTCGTTGATAGAACAGCTTTGTCGCTTTTGTGCTCTCGAAACATTCCTCGGCGATATCGGCGAGAGGAAGATCCTCAAGAAGAAAAGAACAGAGGAGCCGCGCTTTCTATGGCAGCGATCCGATTGAGTAATTCGGTGACGAAAGGATGCAAATGAGACAGAAGGAACGATTAAATCGGCTCGAGCGAAAGAGACAGAAAGAAAGAAAGAAGAGAGCTAATCCGAGACAGTAAGTAGATCACGCTGACCTTTACTGAAACCGCGGTCGGTCCGCTCAGCGATCGGAACTTCACTTAAGAAGTGCCATCCTATTTGCATTCCTGCGCTTGTTTGCTCCGAGACGATGAAATTGGGTTAAGCGATGGCGACTGTGTCTAAAGCTGAATGAAACTTTAGCTAAAATTCGCTGATGGGAAAACTTTAATGTACCTGTCTCATCGCGGGTTCACCACTACGCGCTCTGCGCTACGATGTAAGCGAAGAAGACCATCACGGCGATTTAATCGCCTCCTGAATCTCGGCTAAATCGTGTGTGAATTTAACGGATTAATTTTCCTTTCATTCCGCGGATTCCGGGTTTCGAATATCACGAGCGAGTCGAGCGATCATCGCGAACGCGACATCCTCGGATTACGTGCTAAGAACTTACTCTCGCAGAACCGGTATTACAATAACGAATGCGAGGCATGTGATCATTAATCGAGGACAAAATTAGCGTTCGCCTCAGCTGTGATAATTGTAGCCCCAACGGCAAAAAGAGCCCTAACCTCGCTGCAAAAATCGGAAATTGAATATCTTAATTTCCCGATATTATACGCGGAAGTTGATGCAAAAACCGCGATTGCATTACAGATGCGCCGTAAATTGCGCGCGACACAGGGATTGCTAAGGTTCGCTCGTATTTTTGCGCAATCCAGCCGATGTAACGGCGGCGCGTTAGCGATTTTTCCTTCGTTTTTGTTTAGAGATCGTTCCGCATCATTTACGCGTCTTTGCAACATCGTCCCACGCAGGGGAAAACTACAAAGTATCGAATAACATAGTACTTGATTTGCACAGAGTAGCAAGTAAAGAACAGAAACTATATGAATCCTGAGTCTTAAACAATGCGGTTCGAATAATACCAAATTGGCCATATTTCCGACTAGAAATTTATCATATAATCAGGTTCATCCTAATCGGTTATTAGATCTATAAAAAGTCATGTTATCGGGTTCTGCACTAAAAAAAATATATAATCTTATCCTTAATGGAATCCTCTCTGAATCTCAGAGAATTTTATCTTTTGTATATGTCGCTCTTCTTACAAAAGGATGTTCTTGAAACTAAAAGAAAATATGTTGTTCCAAGCACAAGATTTTTAATGTTCGAGAAATTTTGTCTTTTATCTACAAGCCTTGTTTATCGAATCACAGGATAAAAGAAGGCATTCTATTTCAAGTAGCATTTCTCTTGATTTCAGAGGAAAAAAGTTTGAACAATATCTAGTAGATATATATTTCTAGTAGATATATCAATAGTAGATATATCAATAGTAGATATTTGACTAACAGCCCACTCCGTTAAAACAGGATGCTCTCTCAGTAAAAGTTCTTGCTTAAATATATGGGATTACAGGAAATAGCACTTTATCACTAGAGTTCTGTTCGTTGAGTGTGATAAGTCATATAACGCAGCGTGATAATCAGAACTTTAATAATAATGATTATTAATAATTAGGATCCAACAACATTATTTCGCACAAACCGATAACCGATTGGAATTAACCTGGTGAGGAACATAGGACAAATTTCTAATCGTGTTATTGCAAAATCGGCTACTAAACCGATTTATACATTCGCCGCATCCATTTGTGTATCGCTACTAATGCGCTTGCTTTCTCCGTGCGACAAAGACACATTTCAGCTGAGACAAAAGAAAAATTCAACCGGTTCACGGTAACCTGTTCGTGCATAATTGAAAGCATGAGCGACATGTGTATCTCTTTTTGCACCGTTCACGTGTAATTAAAAGCAAGCTCCCGACGATCGAATATATACATCATTCGGGGCAATTATAATTATAATAATAAAATCTGGGCAGCGGAACACAACGGACTCGGTTAACATTCATCCATCAGCCATCGCATACTGTCGTCGGGCTATCGACTGTCATCGAGACCGTCGCTGGAATTTACGAGGCGCGATCGAAGTACCGCCGTGAAGTCCGCCGTATTCTCGCACGGAATGCCGAGGAGCAAAAAGAAGAGGAAGAGAGAGACTTCGCGCGTGGAACGTACACGATGTCGCTATATCGGCGATGCGTTTCAGTTCACCATAATTATCAACGCGTGCGCGCGAAATCGGCGATCGCCGTTCACATAAATCGCGTAAGCGACGACCGGCTGCCCTAACAGGCACCTTATTTCGCTGAGCAGCGCGTTCGGTGCGTGCCCCGTCGGGGAAATCAATGAACCATCTATTTCCGCCGCACGTCCACTGTTGCCGCCTAATTGCTTTCTTTTGCGTAATGCACGCGGCTGCGCGAATGCGTGAATACGGCACGTACATGCGCGTACAACCTTGCGCGCGTAAAGTGCCCGACTCGCCGCCGCCGTCGCCGCCGAGGACGAGAACGAGTGGCGCGAATGTCCGGTGGTGTTTTCCCCGGCTTGGAAGCCACCCAAACGTGATACCGATGACGACGGACGCCCTCGGTAATAGCTACGACCACTTTAATCCCAGGCTCGGGTAATTGAAGTTAAACATCCCGTGCAATCGCGCGACGTCAGGCTACCGCGGCGGATCAATCATCGAGGAATTCAACCGGTAGAATCTCGTTTCTGGATTCGTTCGTCTTCCTTACGCGGGGCACTTCGCCTAAGAATGTTAACGCGCACACACAGGTCGATAGTATCCACGATCAAACGATCGCCGACGAGTTGCTGACTAATCGAACAGTTCTTTTTCTCTTTCTTTCTTTTCTTCTTCCTCGCGCACGGTCTCACATGAGTGTTTTCGTCCACATATCACCGGTACGGTGATATCGACCTGTAGAATGTAAAGACTACGAGTCGAATATGCGTTCTTGTCGGGATAATCGAAAGGAGGAACATGTCGCGAAATGGGCAAGTTGCTTTCGAAAGACGCGAGTTTACAGTGTGAATGACGTTTTCACTCTCTGTGTTTTCCTCGGCTTCGAGAAACAAAGATTAATATTGTCGTGTATCAATCGTGCCTGTAACAACGTTCGAGGATCTCGGCAAAAATTGGGGAGGATTTATAGAATTGAATTAACCCCTCCGCGATGGGGTTAATTTCATGGACCTCTCAGACCTCCCGGCACGCTCGAGTTAACTTTATGGGAAAACGCCGTGCCCGCTTGACTGTTAACGAGCTTGTAATGACTAGGAAGGTGTGCCAACTTTTTCGCCGCTTCCTAATGTAAATTATAAATTTCCACGGTGTCATTAAGCAATTATTACATTCCGTGCGTGAGCGCGTGTCTTTTGTGCGTGTTGCATCGTACGATACCGCGTTCTTCCGCCCGTTAACGTTAGCGCACTTCCGCAATTAAACAGACACGATTGCTAAAAAAAAAGAAAACACACAAGAAAAGAGATAAGAAAATAATTTAGCACTTGCGCAAGAATACTTGCGTATGACGTCATAGAGCTGTACAAGAAAAATAAATTTCAGTTCATGTAATCGAATGAGAACTAGATGAGAAATTTGCCGATGAAAAATAACATCTCTGTTACTGTGACCGACAACATTCATCTCAACATTCAGTTGCTGCGAAACTCGGCTCGAGATAATAAAGAGCTGACTAGGAACTTCCTACAGGAGTCTTCCTGTTCTTATAACCGAGTTTTTGTCCCCGAGTCCCTTTACACGGAAAAGAAAAAAATGGTTAGGTCAACCAGAAAAAATGTTAAAATAGTAAAATATGACAGAAATATGGCAGAAAAAATAGTAAAATATAGCATAGTTTTTCTCTTTTCTTCAAAAATCAATTCTTGGTTGCAATTCTGAATGCAAAAATACATTTTTTTCAGGCAACAAATCGCATTGCTAATATATATGATGTCACATATGTTAGCGTAACTAAGAATTGCTTACTGAAGCCAAAAAAGAAAATTATACTATTATCCATTATTATCCATTATTATATTTTCCAAATATGTATGTCATATTTTACTATTTTCTGGTTAACACAACTATTCTTTTTTTTTTGTATAGATAACAGAAAATTCAATTACATTAGCGGAGTTAGTTACACAACTTTTTTCCATGCATTTGTCATTCGCAAACGACGAGCGCGTAACCGGTTGAAGACCGCATGATTCATCCTGAAATTTCACGAAATCCATGATGGAATCGCAGAGAACGATAATCACACATGATCAACGACGCTCCCCTCCCCCCTCCAGCGCGACTTAAGGTCGTAAATAATAATTAATGACCGAGACTTTAAGCTCTGATTAGTCGTGCTGCGCCGACGACGACAACTTAAGGAGTGCGAATCCCGCGGTCGATCCGGCCAAATTCTGAGTTATCGTCTGAATTAACGCGGTCGGAACTACTTGGTGATGAATACGTGGAGACAGTGACGAGTTTCAACGCGAAGCCACTCCATCGCGCCGCGTCTTATTTTCGTCCTCGTGACTCTGCGAGTCGTTTGCGAATACCGGCACTGTCGAGATACTTTGTCGTGTCTAAGTCGAAAATCTCGATTCTCTCAGAATTTTTTGGAAATCGATCTCGACCTGAAATCTCCCCGAAATCGCATGTATCAGATTTTACGCTTGACTGATGTTACAATGTCCAAATTGTTCGGAGATATATTGTGTATAATTGTGTGAATATGACGACGCGTTGTAAAGCAAAATTGATGAAAAATGCATGAAATAAATTTGAAGTAACTATGAACAATCGATCGGCTGTTTATTAATTGATTTAGCAAGACAAAAGCGTGCGATCGTATTACGACGTCGTTCGCTCACATCGTAACTAACGGCTTTTATTTTTGTCGGTGTAGGCATGACCAGACGAAGCTTGGCACGCACTCCTTGTGATATTGTTATGCAACCACGAGGTATTTGACTTCCGAGTGGCACGCGAAGCATTATTATTAGAAGTGATAACACACCGCTCCAATCGACCGTCTCCAATTTTCATCGATGTCGCTAATAAGATCTCAAATATCGTCATGTCTGGTGATTCACTTCTTACTTGAGTTCTCTTGGACAATAATAGGTTTGAGATAATGATCTGAGTCAACTGAAGACGAGAGAGTTGGCGATCTTTCCCGGTTCACAGCCGGAAAACTGCCACCCCCGTTGAGGGGAAATACCATCGGGCAAAGAGAAAGTACGTGACTTCGCAACGCCAACGTCAATTAACACGAGTAGATGCTGTTGACTGACTTGAAACATCAATCCCGAACTCGAAGAAATATTCTGCTCTATAATGGAGCCTAATTACTGTGATGTATCTGCGCGCATTTAGAATATACGAGATGTTTCAAGAACCATTTACCCGAGTCGAAATTTTGGTTCCACATTAATCCTGCAAATTCTGTCAAACTTGAAGGACCAATGGAGAATCGGCAAATATAACACTATACAAAACATCGCCTTATCTTAAGATCTATAACTTCGCTTTTTCTCCATGTTGGAGAAAAATACATTTCAGAATAATATTCGATTATCTTTATTGTTCTATCTATATTCTTCATCTATCATCTTCATCTATTTACCTATAAACATCTTCATCTTCATCTATTCATCTATAATCTTTATTTCTAATTTAATTTCAAAGATATTAATTATGTAAGTTACTCAATTGCAAATAGAGTATGTAAAAATATAAAAATCGAATATTAAATAAATTTGATAAAAGAAGACAAATGGGAAAGATGAATATAAAAGAAACAATAAATTTTTATTCTCATAATTTCTTTTCTTTCCTAAGGCGCTGGAAGTCCCGAGGAAACCTGAAGTTCTTAAAAGAGCTGATAAAAAACTATAAAAGCAAAGATAATAGTTATGTGTCCAATAATGCTGTTTATCGATAGAGATTTATATTTAGATTTCGTAGCAAGATTTTCAATAAGTATAAACAAAGCACGAAAGAATACCAAAACAATTGATAAAAAGAGCAAAACGTAGATGTAAACTACATCTACATTGCACATGCGCGATCCAAGGAGCATTATTAGACATAAAAATCAATAATTATGAGATTGACATTTGTTTTTAAGACCGGTATTTATAGTTGTAAATTATTTCGGGTTTTTAATTGAAAGAACATAGTGATAGAATCGTATTCACAGCCCGTTATTCTGCTGTTTGGATCAATGTTTCTTGTATCAAATAATATAATAAATACAGATGCAAGTTGACAAATAATCAGAAATAAATGAAGCTACAATTGTTGAGTTATAATTGTTTGTCAAATAATGACGTGCGGAGTATGAATGCCGGCCTAAATTTCGACTCGAGTATTTTTTTATTCTCGGTAAGTTCGTCCGTTACGACCAGAAATCTCTGATATAATAAATGATTTGGCACACCTGGAAATATACGTGACGTATCGTTGCACCCGTTCTGCATCCTCCGTGTCCTGGCTTTCCAATCCGCTGTTCTGCTCCGGCTGCTCCGACGTGGCACTGACACTGGCACTGACACTGGCACTGACACTCGCGTAGATACGATTCGATCGGAGAAACGCGTGTTAATGAGCGCGATGCCAACAAGAACACGATTAAATGTTTTAAGAGTCAACGGGAATGATAATGAACGTATCGACACACGTGCTCCGCGGTGTGTACGTCAGCAGTCGCGACTCGAAACGTAATGACTCGGTCACGGAGAGATGCGCGACACGCGACAGAGTACCAAAACAATCGGCGAGGCATCTTCTCTCAGCCGTCAACCGTCGTTGCTCACCCCAGTCAGTGACATGTAAACAATGTCGGCGATCGGGCCGAGAGAAATCACAATCAACGTTCTCATTTCGCAAGTTCCGTTTGAAATTGTTCAATGTTTTTTCTTCTCTCTTTTTCACTTCCATTTAAGAGATTGTTATTAAATTTAAATTTAAATCTCTGTTGACGTTATTACTGTGCACGCGCAATTGCTGTGTAGTTCCTTTCTCTTCATTATTTCGAAATTTCCATCCGCTGTAAAAAAATAAAAAAGACTGGGAGTAAAATAGATGTATTGATTTAATTACCCATTAATTCTACTATTTACTCACATTAATTGTTTAATATATGTTTATCGCATTGTATTCTATCTGCAGTCGCGTAACTTATGCAATTAATACACTGCACTAGGATTGCACTGCAAATTCTAGTATGCTATTTTTGAACGCATAAACTGCAGTTTGGCTGACACTCTTTTTACATGTTTTTTGCGGTTGTAAGTTACGTCATTTAATAGGTTTAAGAGATGTAAATTAGAATTTAATAGGTCTAAACGGTAAGAAACGGTGAGGAATATGTAAAAAGAGATTCCGCCAAAATAACACAATTAAATTTTCAGCGTACTCACTGAAACTAAGAAAATATGAAATGTAAGTAGAACATTATTATCACTCGAACATTAAATTTAAAACAAAACTTTCTTTCAAAGCTTCAACACAAAGAGAATAACCATCTATAGCACTAAATATGATATATAACGTATGATATAGATAACGTATGATTTTCAATCTCAAAATTACTCTATCAAGATCCTTCAAGCTCCAACCTACCGAGTTAATGTAGAAGCCAACTTCGACTTAGCTAAACGCATAAAATTGCACACAAAGTTGCATAACTCACGATATTTACGATACAACTTTCGCGAAAGGCCGCGAATAACCCGTTATGCACCGTAATACTTCGCAAAACCCTTTCGTATGTCCGGGTAATCCCGGCTCTATCGCGGTGTATCCCATCGTTCTCATCGGCAATTTCCAACAAAGTCTCGAGAAAGAGTGTGAGGGACCTCCGAAGCGGGATTCAATCTCCGGGCTCCCCCTATTAGAAGTTTACTACGCCAGCTATCGCGAGCCCTTTTATAGTCCCCCGCGACTCGCCGACGTATCGCGGGTGGTCAAGCCGAAGCCGTCGACTAGACAGGGGCCTGAGGGGTCGTCCAAGAGCAAAAGGTGTAGCGAAACTATTAATAAGGCAGCACGAAAGCCGACAGCCCAGCGGAGCAAGACGCGCGTACGATCCGCGCACGCAAAAGGGAGCCACTTAATGTCTGCGGCGTCCCGACTCTAAATCCTTCCCGCGACAGACGAGGATGCACGAGGTCAATTGCCTGAGTCTTAAATCGCGATATCGGGACAGAAATGGCGACACACCTGCTTATGAATGGACGCCGCGGTCGTTCGTAGCGGGTTGAAAAATGCGCCTGGGTCGGGAAGCACGGCCAACCAGCCCCGAGCGCCGCGTATAAATCAAATGGGTACACATGTATCACGCATGTATCATGTCGTTGCGAATTCTTTACGACCGCTCTTCCCCAAATTGATCCTTGGTAATCTTGTTTTTTTCCCGAATTACCGTCGCGTGCGACGTAACGATCTCGCGCTCTCGCGCTGTGAAGATTTCATCAGCATGGTCTGACAAAACGAAGCATTAAACAGCCGCATTAAAGTGTCATACGTGAAAATCTCTCGCGGCGTGTCCCGAACGCTGTTACGTCCTATAATTTTTGTTTGCGATACGCTGAGATCGCGTTATCACGTAATGTCGAGTGACGCAACAGTTGTGTGATATCTATTTCCGCGAGTGAAGTTTCTCAGCGTGAATTATACGATACGCCCGCGCGACATAGACGGTGTTTACATAATGTAAATTTGAGCGTGCTAGTGTGCTGTGCGTGTCGTATGAGACACTGTCTATCGGACAGTTAGAGACGGAACTAGGTCATCGTCCGCTTGATGGATCTAAAGATTAGATCGAGCAATTACATTGTTTACCACAACCGATTGTGCCGGCTATAGATGTACACTAAATAAGATTTTATTTGCATCTAGCTAGTGAATCAAATATTCAAATTCCAGAAGCGTAAACAAACGACAAAATCGTGTTCTTCCATTGATCGTAAATGACAGCTCCGGTTAAGAGAAATATAGTTTTGAGAATTAATCATCCGAATATCACGAATCAAAAAGTCGCGACAAACAATTCCTGTATAAGAGAAGATAGCTCCCTAAAACCTTTTTTAAAAAATAACTAAATTAAGAAAAATATAAAGCTAGTCCGCTGGATATCCGTACGAATAATTAAATTGTGAGAGGGTCATGTTGTTTGACAATTATTAATTAATTTTTCCCTTTAATAGGAATCACACAAAGTGATTAATAGAAATTGTACAAAAGCGCAACTGAGATCTTAAAAAGGGGGAAATTAATTGAAATATAATAATTGGGGTTCAGGGTCGAGTGTGACGTGGAAGATTCCGATTCACCGCGTGCGTTCTACAGACCAAAAGATGCTCAGCGTTTGCGTTTACACCGTCAAATAATATTACTCTCCTATAATTTAATTATTCGCACTAATATCCAGCGCACGGCTCCTACTTGCTTTATATTATACTTCTCTTCATTCAACTGTATGCCAAACATTTTTCGAAAATTTCTAAAAACGATATACTTTAAACTTATCGAATAATAGACTGCTGTTTGTGTTCGATAGCTCGATAAGGCACGGCTGATCGCGTATTCGGACCTACCCTGGTTTATAACAACACGTCCAATTTGTCATTGCTTATCGCGTTGCAGCCGACTTTCGTCGTGGGTTATTCGGCCAACCTTTTCGATATCACAGCATGCCGGCACGTGGCTGTGTATTCAATATTCAGCTGATAAGCCTTGTCATCGGCATCGTCGTTATCTACGCGAGTGCGGCCGCAGAAGTACCGCGCCTCTCTTGCTACCGCGCGCTGTTTACACATATGTAGCGGCGCTTTTTCACGTGTCGATGCCGTTGGCACTTTTTACCCCGATATTGATTCAGCCAGACGGTTGACTTTCACCGGCTGACAAGTGCCACGACACGGGAGCGTGCGGTTTTCTCTATCGTGTAAAGTCTCTCACCTCCTGATTGATGACTACGGACACGCCTATGAACTTTCCGCCCGCTACTGGATTCCGGCATGTATAGGGTGTCTGGACTGAAGTGTCACGCTCGCATACAAGCGGAACTTGTTGGACTGAACAGTAAGATCTTCTATCATTTTGCAAACACTCAATCACGATCATTCTTGAGATAACGATCAAAGAAAATTGACAAATGGGGCAGTCTGAAGTGAACTTTAGACTGCCCTGCAGAGCTGCTTCACCGCAACACGCGTACTCACTTGCCTCAATTTACTTTAATTAATATCTCAAAAATTATTGTGGCTGTTTGCAAAACGCAAAAGGACTCCTCAGTTCGACGAGTTCTTCTACTTGCACAAATTTAATGCTATATATAAGTATCCGACACCCAGTATCCGTACTGTGTGCAACACGCATTTTCTGATATACGTACACCGTGCTAATATTTCGTCAGGTTGCACGCGCTTTGCGGAATGTCAGGTCTACTCGCGCAAATTGCGCGTGACAAACAAACATAAATGACTATGGTGGTGTAGCGCATAACATGTGTTTTTTGTGACCCGACGGAAGCGGGTTTTCATAACGAGCGATTCACCGCCGGAAGAACGTTACACGAATGTAATTCGACTCAGCTAGACACGCGTGTCGTCAGGCGATTCTTGAGTGACGATCATATAACTTCAGCCCTAAGATGAATAATGTGAAAACGAAGTATTTTCACGTGAAAAGTTTCACGTTTCCATTGTTCGACGAATCGTACGATCGTTGGGGAAGGATCAGCTGGCCACTAAGGAGATACTGTTAAACACACGACGTTTTTCTCTCATATATGCGTCGTATATTAAATGGGTCAAGAGCGTCTCGCTCCATCGATTATTGCCTATCTCACGGCTGTCGACAGCTGCAAATACTCGTAAAAAAGTCATTTCTGACTGACTTCGTCGCCGCTGTCAATCCACGCCGGCGCGATTCCCGTTGCACTCGATTAGCTACGTGCACGCGGAACGTAAATATCAAAATAGCTCGTCCACGTAAGCGCGCATAGCGCATTAAAGTCGCCGTATCTCGTCAATTACGCGTCCACATTACCTCCAATTTGCGTCGCGCGAGAGCTTTCACCTGTTTTACGAACTTGACGCGAGTGACGCGACGGATAAATTCCGCGCCTCGATAAAGCGGCACATGGCGTCTTTTCCTGACCATGTCGTAAAACTTGCACGATATGCGTGCACGTATCGCTTTATTAATGTCGCGACGGATAAGAAAAACAAAAAGTTTCGTTAAACCCGAAGCTAAGCGACTGATGCTGTGTCGTTAGCTACCAAATTGTGCATCACTCACCCCATCCCCTTTCAGCTCAGATTGCGCTCGACTGTTGTCCTGAATACCAGCCCGATTGAATCCGCACCTTGAAAAGAAGGAGAAAATTCTCTGGTTAGTAATTATCGAAATAGTCGCTAGAGATAACATCTTCAATTGGCACGATGCAATTATTTCTGGTCGCGTCTCGCCGATGCGAATTTGCAACTTTGCCTCGATGACGCGCGAACATCCTTCGCGCAGGTTTACGATCGGCAAGAAGGAACACAAGAAGAAGGGCTAACATCTTCTCTCCTCCGTGTTCATCTTAATCAACGTGTCTTTGAAGTGATATCACGCGGAAAATCATAGCCCGTGCGATGGCGACTCAATGTTGCACCTTATCGCCCGTCCCGCATTCGATTAATCAGTCAGCAGAGAAACGTGTCCAAATTTATAATAGCTATTTCGCATTCTTTTGTGTCTCATTTTTAGTTTCTTCATCCGCCCTTTGGTCATTTTTCAGTACGCAATAATTGTCAACCTGGCATTTAATGAGATTAATACGCGCTGGGAAATGTGTGTAGATGTTGAAAGAATATTATGAGATACGCGCGAAAGAGATTCTACGGAATATAGGATAATTAGAAAATAATTATAGATCTAAAAAAAATTAAATTTTGATGTGGGAATATGATCTCTGTGACTGATTATGCAAGTAATCGAACAAAGCTGGTCGAGTGGAATATTTACTCCGGGAACAACGCGCAAGAATACAGCAGGATAAGACATGATGGACATTGCATTAACGTAAACGACATAATACGTAATAATACGTAATTTCTGCGCGCGAGAGGTGCGACCGGTACGTCTGTGTGTATTAGTCAAATTAGGAATTTCCTTCAAGAACAAGACAGACAGATCTGGCAGAGATATTGCATTAGCAGCAAGCACGCCACGAGTAATTTCCACACACGAGGAACATAATCAGAACGTCAAGTAACCCCGTCCAAAGAAGTTGTGAAAAATAAGGGTTTGTCACTGGGAACTTTCACGCGGCGTGGTTCGCGCGTTTATCCACTTCATTAGTAACACGCCGAAGGATAACGATAACAAATGACTCCTCTAAGAAGCCGCGATGAGTCCGATGATTAACGGGGTGCCCACGGAGAAAGAAAGAGAGGGGGAGAAGGAGAGAGAGAAAGAAAGAGTCGACACCTACCGCTAAATCAATTTCATTCAATCGATTCCTTCGCACGTGCATCGTATGCTCGTATGCAAATCTCCACAGCGATAAATCGCAGAACGAATCGTGAGAATCGAACGGAAAATGTCTGCTTGTCAATTATCGCGTATCGAATCAGCCGATTTCCTGTACGTACTTCGATTTGAAGTCGTGTCTTGTCTCGCGTGAAATCGCGCAGTCAGCTGGTACGTCAATTAACATGTATCGACAAAAATTTTTATATGTTGTCTACAGACGTAATGATTTTAAACGGAAGTAAAATTCCCTTCAAGGAAAAGGAGAATCCAAAACTAAACGATCAAGGCTCTTTGACACATAATTGATTAAAAAAAAAGAAAAAAACGCTAACTCAGTGATCTCAGTTGCGCGCGGAACCCACCCAGTCGTAAAAATAAAATAAAGTAAAAAAAGGAGCAAAATGTAAGCACCAAACGGACTTCTGCGAAACTGTCCGAACGTTTCGTTCATTCTGATCTATTCAGCAGTCAGAAGTGAGAAAGAAAACCAAAAAGAAGGTACGTTTTTCCTTCAAGAAACTCTATAATAGTATAATATTACTTCTGCTTTGTTTTCCCATTGAAGAAGATCCGAATGACCGTGACGCCTCGATTTGCAGTACAATGCACTCGTGTCGGTGTCACATCTGGAAACGGTTGCAGTCCTTTTTTTCCAACAGCACCGTTTCGGTCAGGTTCAAGTGCTGGCCGTCGATACGAGGAAGGGGAGACTGCACTCTCTCATGTGTCTCCCGTACTTCCTCGTTACGGTCGTAAACTACAAGCAGTCCCTGCTCCGATCCGAGACGCGGAACGTAATTATGACCGACGACGTGGTCGCGTGCAATTAATACGCAATAAATTTCGCCGCTCGCCCAACCCGTTGCGGCGCCTTCTCCGCGATGAGAGAAGGCACGCAAGACGAAGAGCCAGTCCACGAAATTACGAGCTTGCGTCGCGAGCTACGTCGGAGGCACGTGGAGTGCGTGACGCTCGCGACCGGGACGATCCTTTTTTTCCGGTCGGAAATTATATCCGTCATCTTCTACTCGGGCACGTTCTCGATTTCATATTCATTTGAAATATTTGCAACGGGAAATAACTCGAGCAGAAGAAGGGAAAAATAGATTGCGTCATCTCCGAAGAAACGGCCAGTAGACGCGGAAGAATGAGGGTTGAAAGAAAAAAAGGGGCGAGTCTTTCCGTATAATTATAAGAGCGAAACTCTGGAACCCCTGCAGTCGTACAGCACTTAGCTGATGACATACGTAGCATGCTGCGCGGTTGATTGGCTTGGTGCTTTTAATTAAAATATCCTATACGCGGATAACACAGATGAGCTTAACGACGAAGAAACATTAATAGCCGGCCATTTAATAGGCCACATGGTAGCGCATATATTGATGTATACTCGTTTGTCTCAAATGTCGTGTGTATGTGTCGGATAAATGGATCAAGGTGGTTTAATTTTTTTTCGAAGGGGGACGCTAATGCACGCGGAGAATAAAAGTGTAAAGTGTAAAGTTGCAAACTCGCGGCGATTGATCTTCACTCCATGTGTTCGCACAAAGTGGAGAAACAAAATTCCAAAAGTCGCAAGTATGAATGGCAAAACGGATAATGGCGTAATAAAGATATTTGCGTGTCTAGTTGCTTGATTGGCCGCTTATCTCGAGCCGATATGATTATCGCACGTGAGGATAGCCGTACGTGTGAAATTACCGCTAAGTGACTCGATACGAGAAACGCGATGTCGCGAAACTTGGAAGCGCGGCAGGTCAACGTGAGATAAAATCGGCCGCGCGCGATCAGTGAGTTGTGACGATTTCGCGAGCAAAATTGCCCATCACTGGCGTAATCATGGCGATGTTTGCACTGACCAGATATCTCGCAGATTGCTATAATAATTATGCTGTAATTACGTTACTTTTGATTTACCGCTAAGCGATTTGATATGCATCGGGCACGACGGAGGATGGTCAATTTCGCCTGTTATCGGGCCGACACGCCTGAGCGATTAAAAGACCGCCAGCTAGCAAAGTGAGATATTTCCCGAATGTGTCGACGAGAGCTATCTCGATTAACGGTAAAATCCGCGGAGCGGCAAACACGAGGAGATTGTCGCCAAGACCGGCTGAAGTGAAGTAAAGGCGCCGGAAGGCGCCGCGTTATCTCGCGACGCGACCGGCTCGCGAAGAGAGAGAGAGAGAGAGAGGTGTGCACTATCAGCCGATTAGATTCCAAAATTAGCCGGCGGGAATTTCACGCGCGACAATTAGCAGCCGCGTATCGCGCAATTATCGGCCGGTTATCGCTGTTTCAGCACGAGCGAGCTTTTTGCGACGAGGCGGCGCGGCCATTGAAGTTGTTGAAGTTACGCGCGGATAAGCGTTCGGGACGACAGCAATCGGCTATCGACAGTTCGTGGTTACACGACGCTATCTCGCCGCACTGTTCGCCGCACTTATCTCTGACGATGCGAATATTGAAATAATAATTATCTCGTCGTGAGATGAAGACTCGCGTCGACGCGTCGCGTCGCTTGGCGTTACGCGAAGACAATTACCGCGCTTCCCGTGCCGCGCGGATTAACGGCCAGGACTGATCTCCGTCCACGTGAAATTATATCGAGCCAAACGTATTCGCGCAGTTATGCCGAGTCATCGGCGCATCCGCGAGTTTGTGGATGATAAATGACTCGGGGCAATTTCCTACGCCGTCATCGGCTGTCGCGAAAAAGTCACCGGAAATCGATAACGGGTGCAAAACGCGGCTGCCACTGTGCGCTAATCGTCCGCCGTGATAAATCGCGCGGTGATTTGTCAAGAATTCATTGGCCGAATATATTGCTTCCGTACACTGAGAGGAGAAAGAATGGTTGATTCAACGAAAGTTATAGTCATTTTCGGCCTCAACCGTATTTTTGGATTGTTCCAACACGAAAAAAGTGATAAGGTTATATATTATTGTTAACATTATAATAAAATTTCATTTAAAAAATTATTTTCTTAACCATAATTATTTATCTATAAGGGAGAAAGAAGATATGGTGCACGTAACCAGAAATATTTAGTTGTAAGCAACACCTTGTTACCTTGGTTATTTCTATGTTATGGTTGATATGACTGTCTCTCAATTACTTTGGTGCATCAACTGCATCAATGTAATGATTGCGCATGATTTGACAACCATCTTTCTGTGGCGACCAGAAATCGGTTGGAGTGACATTATATATAATACCATGGATATACTCTGCTTGGAGCAAGCAGATATCGTGCAACGCCAGTAGTTCAGCAATTGCTCTGTGGTTGCGGCAACCACATAATCAGTTGCTCCGTATTTCATTGTTGAATCTGGTTGGCATAACCAGATTTATGTGTGGGCCAACGACGTATTGTTTTCTCCGCGTATATGATCGTAGCCATAAATACCAAACATTTTGTTCTCAGTGTAAGTGAAAACCGAAAGACAATCGCCGCGCGTGAATATGTACTTCCCGTCGCGATTAGCATAAGGCGCGAAGGCGCTGTCGCGAGAAAACGCGAATACTTGAAGAGGGAAAGTGCGGCGTTCGCCGACAGCACGAGGGCGATGCGCGTTTTGCATGCGAACATCCAAGGGACTACTTAACGCGCGCCGCAAACTTTACGAAACAGCCAAGTGTGAGCCAAGTGTGATTCACTCGCCAAGTATTCTCATTGAAATCGATCGAGATAACGTCCGCCTATTCAGTTCGCTCATTTCAAATTCGATAGTAACGTAGGAGAGTTATCCGCGCTCGATCGCGCGCGGAGGTGTTGCTAAACATACCTTCAGCGACTAGCTTTGTTCATCGAACATTAAGAAAAACTGACTCTTAAATCATTT